CCCGTATGATCCGCACAACTAACCTATGAGGTATGTTAAGGCTGAAAGTGTGTGAATGGTCCATAATCCCCCAGGCAGCTTTTAAAACATGAACCTGGGACCTGCACACCATCCTCTGAAGCCCTCTCAGGTACATATCTGTGGCAGTAATGGGGTGACTGCTGGCACCTTTTCCTATCATTTTTTGCCTTGTGGTATTCTGCTTGTGGAGTGATCTGTCTTTTTTGTGGTGTGGCATGATTGTGTTATTGGGTTTGTTTCTTTTGAAGGGGAAGTGATGTGTTGTGAGTGAGGACATATTTTACCTCAGAATACACCAGGTCCCATATGCAACTGACAATTCCAACTGTCTTGTGGGGGGGGGGGTTTGAGGTGTGGAATGGCGTGAAGTCCAATCAGCTTCCATATGCAAATGACCTTGAAATGCTGGCCCAATCAGAGAAGAGTGGGCTGAAGCGGCCCAGCTGTAGAAGCCCCGTCCCTGCACTCAGTCTGCAGATGGTCCTCTCCAGTCAGAAGCCCAAAGCAGACTGAACCGAACACGCTGGCCAGGGCTGATGTGGGCGGGACTACACAAAGCAGCCAGCCAACCCAGCCAGCGTCTTCTGACTGATAGTTCAAGCCTCCAAACACTGTTGGTGTGCATTGGAACGTTGGGCCCCACTATGGCTTTATATATAAGGGACAGATGGCACCACCTACAATTCTATGCACTGCATATTAATGCATGCGTCATCTCCTACCACTGAGCCAGTAATGTTCAGAGATGTCAGTCCTGATGAAATGGTGGTCTTGCGAAGGGCCCAGAGAACGAGTTAAAGCAGTATCCTTGCCAAGGAAATCCGATGCCACTCCAGAATAAAGATATTCATCTATAAGTGGAAAGCAAACAGCCTTCTGTCAGGAGCATGGCACACTTATCATTTATTCTTATTTTAGAGATGACCCTAAAAGATCCATTAAAACATGACATACTGTACATACTGGCATTAGTAACACCTAATTCAGAAGAATGTAAGAATGGCTTTGTGTGATCAGAACGCCATATATCCAACTAACACATGGCCCTAGCCATATACTTGTGCAAAGGAAATCTTTCCCCCATTTGTTCCCAATATCTGGAATTCTGAAGTATACTGCCTTGAGATATAGGGAAGGTCTGTTAGCTACTTAGAATGCTTGTCTAGGATCCGGGCGACCCAGGCTTGAATCCCTACTCTGCCATGGTAGCTTGCTGCGTGACCTTGGACCTGTCATCCATGGTGCTGATATCGACATCCATGATGCTGGTAAAAACCAGATATGGCTTGAGGCCAGCATGCTGTAAAGGCTACTTACTCCTGTGCAAGCCTATATGACCATTACAATCATTTTCAGGGGCCCTGACTCAGGTGCCGTCATCTGAGGCTCCACAGGTGGCAGCTCAAGAAAGGGCCTTCTCATTCATGGCACCACAACTGTGATAGTCCCTCCTCAGGGAGTTTCATCTGCCCACTTCTATCATCTGCCAGCAGCTGCAGAGGGTCTTTTTTGTTTGTTTCATTTGGTGTTCCCTTACTGACCCTGCCTCTTGTTTGCTGCTTGAGGACCTGAATGGGGCAGAAAGGCAGAATCTAGGGTGTTAATAAAATAAATAAGTAAAGCTCCTAATTGAAGCAGGATGGGATACCACGCCACTTCTCAGGCTGACCTAAGGATAAAATCCCATCCCAGGATGGGGCATGGTCTTCCCAGGACAGCTGAATCTCAGCTACTCTATTCTTGGTAACAATTAACTCATGATGGCAATACCGAATACAAACTTCTTAGCAAGTCATAGGCTTAAACATGGTGAAGCAAAGGGACCACAAGCTAAAGTGTGTCTGGCCTAATCTGAATGAAACCCATCCCATTTTCTACACTGAGTGAAATTTAACCATCTCAGTGGCCTTTTCTGCACTCTCCTTTTAATCCATGTTCACCGTGGTGTCCTCCAAGCAATTCTGCACTAAAATCGAATACAACCGTCTTTTTAATCCAGTTCCCCCCCCCCCCATTCTGCATTGCACTACCTCCCTTTAGTGGTCAGCCCGATTTCAGCCTGCTGTTGCCCCGGGTTATTTGGATGCTGTTTTGCCGTGGACTTAAATTGCCTCGACTCAAATACTGAGAAAATCCAGAGTGGCAGGCAAATGCAGAAAGGACCAAGGTCACAACCAGTGTTCCCTCTAAGCTGAGTTAGTGTGAGCTAGCTCACAATTTTCTACCCTCCAGCTCACACATTTTTGTCTTCGCCCAGGAAGGAGGGCTCCAGAGCAAACTAATGTATGCAGCAGCCAAATCGCTGGCTCCCCACTTTAATGCCAGTAACTTACAAGGTAGAATTCTTGTTCACAAGACTCCACAGCTTAGAGGGAACATTGGTCACAACGGGAGCATTTCCCCACTACCAGCTGTAGCCAATGATGTGCAGTTGGGAGTGGAGAAATGCGAACTATCAGGACTACAGAGTTCCAGAAATTTGGAAGGAAGGAAGGAAGGAAGGAAGGAAGGAAGGAAGGAAGGAAGGAAGGAAGGAAGGAACCATCCTTTTCATACTACACATTTTGAGTAAATCACTGTCATTCATTTCACTCATTCCAAGGAGGGAAACGTTTCTTTTAGTGTTCCCCCCAAATTTTCCAGTTTTTCCAGTGGAAAAACTGACAAAGTCTTTAAAGCACAGTTTTGCGACTCAGAACGCATAGCATTAAAAAGTTTTAAAAGCATTTCACACATTCTGAAAGGAAAAAAAATATGATTTTCCCCAGTGCTCCCCCAAATATCTCAAATGTACAAAAATTCCTCAGGGAGAACACTCCTCCCCAATAAATCGTAGTGGATATAGCATAGGGGATGGGAGAACTAAAAGCCTGGCACATCTAGTTTGCACTTGGGCAGTAGCAATCTCTTTAAGGTATTTCCTTCAATAAAACAATATGCTGGATTATGGATGCTCCAACTGAATTGTTTGCACAGATTAATTTTTATAAGTGGCAGCTTTCAAGAATACATCTTCCAATTGGCCTCTTCTGCAACAGCAGCACATGAAGAGTGAATGCTGTTAAGTATTGTCTGCTTGCCAACAGACATCCTTGGTGATTGATCAATCAGTAGAGCTAAAAGAAACAGCCCATCTTGGTTTTAGCCTCTGATGACAAGGATCTCTCAGCACTTGGGTTGTTCTTTGATCTCCTGGACATCTGTTATTTCCTACATGGCAAGCCTAAATTGTTCTAAGGAAATTAGCTTGTGATCAACTAGAACACCTAGATCCCTTTCATATGAGCTGCTGTCAAACCAAGTCCCTCCCATTCTATATGTGTGCCTTTGAATTTTCATACATAAGTGTAGGACTTTGCACTTATCTCTACTGAAATTCATTTTATTTGTCTCAGCCCACTGTTCCAGTCTATCTAGATTATTTTGAATCCTGACTCTGTCTTCTTCAGAATTAGCAATCCCACCCAAGCTTCGTGTCATCTGCAAATTTGATAAGCATCCCCTCTATGTCTTCCTCCAGGTCATTTATAAAAATATTGAACAACACCGGACCCAGGATCGAGCCCTGCGGCACTCCACTTGAGACTTCCCTCCACGTAGGCACACAGCTATTTACGAGCACTCGTTGGGTAAGATTTTTCAACAAACCATGAATCCATCCAATGGTTGCACCATCCAGCCCACATTTAACCAGCTTATCCTCAATGATATCATGAGAAACTTTGTCAAATGCTTTACTGAAATCTAGATACACTATGTCCACAGCACTGCCAGAGTTAACCATTTTAGTAACTCTGTCAAAAAAGGAGATAAGGTTGGTCCGGCATTACTTATTCTTGATAAACCCATGTTGGCTACTAACTCATTCCGTTCAAGGTGCTCACAGACAGAGTGTTTAATAATCTGCTGTAGAATTTTTCCAGGTATTGATGTCAAACTGACAGGCCTGTAATCTCCTGGGTTCGTCTTTTTTCCCTTCTTGAAGATTGGGACAACATTTGCTCTTCTCCAATCTTCCAGCACAACACCAGTACTCCATAAAATCTCAAAGATTAGAGCCACGGGCTCTGAATAACATCTGCAATTTCTTTTAGCACCCTGGGATGCAAGCCATCCGGCCCTGGAGATTTGAAAGTATTTAAGGCAGCTAGATGCTCTCTAACCATCTCCTTACTTACCCTGGACTGGCAGTTCTTACTTCCTTCATATGTCCTGCATTCTTCAGTTTGTATACAGTTTGCCTTACGGTTAAAGACCGACACAAAGTGAGAGTTAAGTAATTCCGCTTTGTCTTCATCACTTGTTAAGGCTTGACCATCTTCCCCTAGCAATGAGCTTACTCCATCGCTGTTCTTCTTTTTGCTCCGAACATAGACATAGAAACCTTTCTTGTTATTTTTAGCATCCCTTGCAATCCTCAACTCCATCTGTGCTTTAGCCTTTCTGACACCATCCCTACAGATTCGAGCCTGCTTCTTGTACTCACCCTCAGTAATTTGTTCCTCTTTCCATTTCCTGTACATTTCCCTTTTTAGTCTCAGCTCTTCAGAGAGTTCCTTGTTCAGCCACCTCGGCCTCATTACCCATCGTACCTCCCTGGGGCCAGGAACTACCAAAAGGTGTTGATTTCTAGATCTCAGTGCTTTATGGGACTCATATTGGGAGAGGCAGTCCCAAAGGTATGCTGGCCCCTGCCCATATAGGGGAATTGAGGAATTGCTCCTCAGACATCTGAAAAATTACAAACAAAGCCAAAAGTGTTTTGGAAATAACCACAGCATTTCTTAGATTTGGGGTATCCCTGCCTTCCTACTTCCAGACTGCCTGTGGAAACAAAGACATAATTTCTACCATCAGCCAGAAGCAATTTCTGCAATCCTGAAACCGTCTCCTCTATCTTCATAAAAATTGCTGCTTGTATGTTTGTATGTTTTGTATGTTCGTAAACTGAAATTAAAGAAAAATAAAACGTAGGCTGGCTCTCAACTTTTATGGTTTGGCTCACGAAGAAAACATTTTGCACACAAAGCTCCAGAGCTTGGAGGGAACATTGGTTGTAATCCCAGGAGATCTCCAGCTACCATCTGGAGGCTGACAATGCTGTGTCTGTACCAGAAATGAAACAAACACCCATACCCTCATCCAAACAAGAGTTCAGCCCAGTCCTCCTTTTTCACAATTCACTATTATGTTTGTTCAGGTGATCCTATACCACAGTACCATCAGTAAGAAATGGGACGGGGGAAGGGGCAGGAAAAGCAGACAGCTTTTGTTTGTGAGGCAAAGGTAAAGATTCCCTTGCTCGAAAGCCAGTCGAATCCGACTCCAGGGTTGCGATGCTCATCTCCGTTTCAAAGCCGAAGAGCCAGCGCTGTCCGAAGACGTTTCCGTGGTCATGCGGCCGGCATGACTAAACACCAAGGTGCACGGAACGCTGTTACCTTCCCACTAAAGTGGTACCTATTTATCTACTTGCAATTTCTTGCTTTCGAACTGCTAGGTTGGCAGGAGCTGGAACAAGAGATGGGAGCTCACTCCGTCATGCGGCACCTGGGTCTCGAACTGCTGAATTACTGACCTTCCACAGCCTGCAGTTCAGCGTCTTAACCACTTGAGCCACCACAGCTCCTTTTGTTTGTGAACCAGCATCCAAATTCTTTTTAAGGGTGATTAATCATTTCTATCCTTTTCTACCCATTTTTGACATGGTATCTAATATGTACAACATATTCTGGGCCTGAAGGAGGCTCTAGCACACATAAGCTAGTGAGCTCTTTGAGTACTAAACCTAAAGCTGGACCCAATGCCCACCCCCACCCCCAAGTCATGACAGCATTCAGCATTTTGTATCTTCTGCTTCCATACTAATTCACTCTCTGCAGCATCCTCCCCTCCTGACATTTCACAGAATTACTACACATGGTACTATATCATTGCCTTTGTCTCAAAAATAAAAGAGAACAGGAGAATCTTCCATGGATTCTTTAAAGAATGCTTTATGGGCAATTAAGAGAGTCAGAATAAACTGAGACAGACAACCCCTGTTGTTCTAATAATATAAGCCTTGGACCATGGGCAGGGCCAGTATTAGAAACCATCACTCTCATTATCTGAGAAGCTGAACATTAGCCATATTCTTTTTATAAACACAGTGTACCAATCCTTCAAATAAACAAACACGACCTCTCCTCTACCCCCAAATGAGAAAGTCATGGTGCATCCCTCTCATCGTATACAAGGCTTCGGCTCAAGGGGCCAAGATGAATAAAAATGGGCTGCAGCTAAGGAAGAAGACCTCATACCTAAAGCAACTGTTGTCTGTGCCAAAATGAAGAGATTAGTCTTCTATGACAGCAGGGATTGGGCACCACCAAGTATGAGTCCAAGACTTCTATCCTAAAAACACTTACTAGGAAGTCACCCCATTAAGTTCAACAGGACTGATTTTCTTCATTAAATATACTTAGCATTGGTCTGAAAGACAGGAAAAAGATGGCGCAATACTGTACAATATGCTTGACTGTAATTCTAAAGGCCCAGCAAGTCCCTTTTAATGCATGGTGCTTTTTCCCAAGGAAGCGCATTTAATATTAGGCTTCAGAAGCCACTGAGACTGCAATCCTCAGAACATTTTCCTGGGAGTAAGCCCCAATGAATAGGTCTGAATAGGATCCTGAGCAGACATGATTAGCTTTGTGCTCTCAGGAATTCCTTTAAGGAAAAACCATTCACAGGGTCATGTGCAAGACCCATCCACAAATGCTCTGCAAAAGAAGCTGCTTTGTACTGAATCAAACCATGCTCTGTGACCTGGCCTTTCCCAGCTTTCCTACATGGCATTCTTTAACTGGAGATGGGACTTCATGGATTCAGTCCATGTGCTCTATCGCTGACCTATGCCCTTAGATGGATTATCATGCAAGTGTAGTATGAATGGGAATATAAAGATTTTCATATATAGGTTTTTCCTTCTTGATTGTTCATATTCATATTTCTCTGGTTTTTATAGATTTATTCTTTAAGTAATATTTTATTAGAAAGGCCTGTTATATAGAAGGCTTTCCTCTTGTAGGTCTGATATTGTTAGCGGACAACATAATAGGTACAAAGTTCATGATTCTGTAGTTCTTAGGGCAAACCTTTCAATGTCTGGGTCAGATAAGACTTTAGTCTCGTATCAGTAATGAATACTTTTGTTTAGGTAAGAACAAGCTTTAGCCGATATGCCTTAGGTCATGTCAAGTAAATATGTGATGCCATTGCATAGACACACCTTTCTTACATTTGACCAATAAGGAGATTTTTATGTAAATGTTGTTTAAGTTTTCGTAACCAATTATGCCTTTTGAATATTATTCCCATGATGATGGTATGATGATGTCATTTTAAGTATTTAACTTTATGTATTTCCTGAATATGTTCAGAATATGCTCCAGAAGAAGATGAAGAAGAAAAAGAAGAAAGTTGTCAATTTCTGGTTAACTATTTGGTCTAATTGTTTTCCTATTAATTGAGGCATGTTTCCTGATTATGCTGAGAAGAAAGCAATCAGCTTTGATGGGTCCTTCGGCCTGTTTTCCATATTTCATTACAATAAAATACAAGAACTTCCTCCTCATTTGACTTCATTTTTGACATGGTATCTAATATGTACAACACAAGATGCAACTTGAAAGCCTAAATTCAACATCATGTTAGGACATGTGTTCTGTTGCTCATGTTTAAATCCATGAATTTTAATGGAACTAACAATATGATCTATGCAAGTCCTTATAGAAATCCCATGTTGCACCATGGAAGTTACACCCAGTGAACGCTATCATGCAGCTTTAGTGCACATAACTTGGTACAGAAGTAAAACTCAAGGAAATATTCAGATATTTTGCTGGATGCAGAATGCACTTTTCATACTCTCACAACACAACAGTTTAATCATCACAGACAATACCTTTTAAAATTCATTCTCACTATTTCTCCTTCAGGTATCTTCTTCGCCGAGTCTATCACATCTCTTTTAAAAACAACCGTATGGGTCATCTACATGTCGAATCAAGGAATCAGAGCCTTCACCCTCAATTACTTTCATTTGCTCTCACTAACAGTCATACAGACCAATCCAACTGGCTACATGATGCCATGGCATCATCATCTTCACTCTCTGATCACTAACTGGCTGCAACCGGACAAAGCACAAACCAAAGGGGGAAAACATGCCAAATCAGGGAGGTGGAAAACAGCTGCAAAAGTGTATGAAAACTTTGCTGAGCTAGCTTTTTTCTTTTTTTTTCTTTTTAGGGAATGTTCCAACTCCGCCCACCCCCCAACATCCTTTTGAGCTGAAAATCTTAAAGGTTGAGGATTTGGCACCATCAATGTTCTGCTTTCTCAATGGATCAATAACAAAACCTGCTGGCTTCAATGCAAAAATGTTAGGATTCATTTGTTCATTTTGTTTACATCCTGCTCCTTTTCCAAAAATCTCAGAGCAATTTAACACATACAGGTCCAGCCCAGTTTCCCACTGAGGCCCTGTACAACAGTAACGCTGGGGGAGAGGGTCCGAAAGATTTAGCTGTAATAAATAAAGACTACTTCAATGTTTTTCAGTCGCACCTTGATGTCATCCATGCCAAAACCCTCTAAGTATTAAGCTGGTGAATATGTGTGTGTGCATACATATTGCATACATTGTACATTAACATTGTAACTCCCATATTCTAGTTGGGGCTGTTGAGGTCAAGACAGAGGCTTGCCAAAGTCCACTGAGTGAGTTCAGGGCCCAGCAGAGTTCCAAACCAGGGACTCGCCAATTCATAGCCCATTCTTTTACACAAGCTTTTAAATTAAGTATTCCATGTTGCAAAAGGACCAACATCTCACCTGCCATGACGGATGCAAAGGGCTGCTGGGGATCAAAAGGACATTTCAGTCTGCCAGACTCCATGCTGAGAGCATCCAGTCTGAATACCACTTCCTGCATATAGAGGGGATAGTCAAAAATGTGGTGACACAGCCCAGAGATGTCAGTTTCAGATACAAATTCACAGGTATGTAATGGAGGTGGATTGAATTACAAATCTCAACATCTGCTTTGCAATTTTCGAGAGATGCTTTATGTTTACCATTCACATGCAGAGGTTATGTTCACTTCATTAATAAACAAAGCAACAAATTGGTTATGCTGGTGAAATTCCATTTAAGGCAATTTTGATCCTCAGAAATCAGGCCGGGGGGGGGGGGAATCTCACACTTAACTACATTGCAGTCAGGATACTCAGGAGTGACTCTGAGCCTTTCTGCACTCGTCCGTTCCCCATCAATTTGTCCACAGCCATGTTGGAAGCAGAATTTTCCTCTGCATTGCATCCCTCTCTCCAGGGCTTTTTTGGTAGAAAAAGTCCAGCAGGAACTCATTAGCATAATAGGTCACACCCAGCAGCAGAAACTCATTAGCATATTAGGCCACACCCCTGATTGCACCACTCATTAGCATATTAGGCCGCATTCCCATGTTACCAGAAGTGTGGTCATCCAGCCACACCCACCTTTTGCTTCTTATTCTGTTTACCTTGTTTGTTGTCAAAACCCAGGGCTTTTTTGTAGCAGGAACTCCTTTGCATGTTAGGCCACACACCCCTAATGTAGCCAATTCTAATGAGTTTCTACTGCTGGGCGTGGCTTGTTATGCTAATGAGTTCCTGCTGGGTGTGGCCAACTTGGGAACCAGCCGGAACTCCATTCCTGTGCGTTCCTGCCCAAAAATAGCCCTGCCTCTCTCACTTTCCTCCTGCATCACGGCTCTTTCCAGATTCTGCACTGTTTTATGGCCATTTGAAGGTGACTTTGCAGTCATCATGCCATTGCCCCAGGGTATCTGAAGTGGTTTCTCCTCAGACCTTTTTGCTCTTCAGCTTCCAGTTTGGAGGGAATAATAAACAGATTACTTGACACGGCTTTAGTCATCTCCGCTTACACCCCCGTCCCTATTTCTGCTTCTATTTTGATGCTTCTAGCTTGCGGGCAGGGGTGTTTGACACACTCCTGCCCCCTCTGTACATTGGACCCTAGGGAGGGATCTTTTCCCCCTTCCCCAAAGTCAATCTGCACACAACATGGAGGGGGATGTATTAAAAGGAATGATAGGATTGCCCATTGGAAACAATGAGAGAGGCTTGAAGGCCCATTTGTGTGTTTTTTAAATTAAATCCCCTGGGATGCCACCCCTCTTGACAGACCAGCCAGCCGCCGAGCTGGCATCCCTCTATGGGTTGTGCATGCCTGGAGTAACCCAGCAGCAGCTAGCCGAAGGGGGTGGGAGAACGGGGAGGAGAGGAGAGAGACGGGAGGGTGCAGTGTGCCCCATACCTTGCTTACACACTTGGCCAAGTCGGTGGCCATTGGATGCTCCCTCCACAGGTCACAAGTGATGTTAACCACAATTAAGCAAAAAATGTGGGTTTGGGTTGTAGGTGCAGAATGCATACATAAAATAAACTAGAGAAAAAAGAATAGTGCAGAGGGCAGGGACACAAAATACGAAGTTAGCCGGAAAGGCTTGACTGCTTGGGTTCTCCAGAGCAAGCTACAGTGGGCTGTTAGTGCAGAAAGGACTTCTGTGCCTTTCCAGCACAGGGTCCACCAGTGATCACATGATAGCAGCTCTGGAATTTGTCAATCTCGGTGGAGTCCATGGCTTAGGATAGATAGATGACATCTCTGTTACTTCCTCCCAGCTTTGCAAAGGAGCTGAACAATGAACACCTCAGAAAGCTGAATCTGGACTTGGTCCCTTGTTTGCTTGCCTGGTCCCTTCTCTAGTTAGGTAAAGTTAACAGAGCACCCCAAGCTTTAGAAATGGGAGGATCACATGTTCCCCTCATCTAGCAAGATGCAGCAAACTGGGAGGGGAGCAAAATGAGCTCAGTCCTCTCACTTTGTGCAGGACTCTAAGGATGGGAAAGAAAGGGACCACCGTCTTCAGGCACAGGCACCTTCTCCATATAGGATTACAGCTCCTGCAATCATCAGGCCCTGTACTAATTGAGAAGGTGGTGTTACCCCTACCAGCTTAGATTTAAGAAGCTGAATCGCTCCCTTCAGTTTCTGGGGGAATTTAGGTAAATGGTAGGCCTCAACAAGAGGTGGGGTATTAGCAGGGACCTCCTACCTATGTTTACGGGGATCTTTCCCTTTAGGAAAACTCTCAATAACCAGGCAGTTGCTTAACCAAAAGGGTTGTTTTTATTAAACAGAAGAAAATCCTAATAAAATGCACACATACAGAAATAAAACACATGTTAAATCATACACACAACTAATAGAAGTACAGAGGTGAGAGGGAATAATAGGAGGGTGTCGGGGAAATACACCTTATCTATCCAGGAGATGAGAAGTCAATGGAGCAGAGACTGGAAAGATGGAAAATGACCCAAAGAATTTACAGGTGACCTGCCAGTATGTGGCCAGGGCAGCAGTGTTCCCTCTAAGCTGAGTTAGTGTGAGCTAGCTCACAGTTTTTTAGCATCCGGCTCAGACATTTTTGTCTTAGCTCAGGAAGGATGGCTCCAGTGCAGTCTAATTTATGCAGTAGCCAAATCGCTCGCTCACAACTTCAATGCCAGTAGCTCACAAAGTAGAATTTTTGCTCACAAGACTCCACAGGTTAGAGGGAGCATTGCAGGGCAGACACATGGATTGGGCTAGTTATACCCAAAAACGTGTCCAGAGGGCTTGCTAATGTGTGGGGTCCCTCAGAACAAAGCATTGATGAGATTAATCAGGGATAAAACAATGTAGTTCTGGAACTTTGTATGGAGTTCCCAGGAGTGGACAAAAGAGGCTGGAGATTATCTTCTAGATGTACAGTACATTTGGGGTTGGGTTCCTGATTACTCTTCCAATGGTTGAGGGACTAATGGATTGCTAATTTAAACTAATCAAAATGGAAACAATGGCTTGAAGAGCCACTGGGGCTTGGGGTGTGGAAAAGTAGTAGAAGGCAGGCCTCTTCTCTTCTTCTACTTCTTCTTCTATATATTATGAAGAAGATGTGAGGAAGAAAGATGAGATCAGATGTCCGGGGGGGGGGGGTTGCAATTGTCAGAGCAAAATTACATGTGCTTTCCAGGGTCACTGCCTAGGCATGATTATGGGGTTGCCAGTCCTGGCATCCATCTTTGTGTCCACTTATGTCAAGTTGCCTGGTATATGGACTCCTGGGCACCCCTATGGGTACCATTGTTGGTTGAAACAACCCCTCCTGATAGACAGGGGGTCAGCATACTTACAGTGGAAGCAGGAGCCAATGGAGAAGTTCAGGAGAGGCAAAGTCTATGAAGGATGGGGTAAATATGCCCACCCAATGGTTAAGGCACCTGCTGGCTTGAGTCCACTTTATATAGTGTCCAGCCTCACTCTAACAATGCTGTTATTCAAAACCAACACACTATTTGAGAATCTGGCTTTTGGAGGAAATGGGCTCAGGGAAAGTCTGCATACATACCGATTCTGCTGAAACTCACACTGACAAATTGTCCCATGTGATTGTATACACAGATGTATAACCAGGTGATGTGAGGAGAACAGGGAACCCATTATCTGAAATATGCTTTTAACACTGCAAGGAGAGACATACCTGTCCCTATGTGCCCAGTCCTATTTTTCCCTCACATGGCTAGGTAAATGCAGTTGTGGACACAGCAGCAACTATATGTTTTTGCTACTGGGGGAGCACTGCTGCCCAGCTCCAGGGCCGGCAGCAGCAGCGATACCAGTGACCGGGATGGCCTCTCTAGGCATTGGAAGGGGGCTTTGTTGGTTTAGGGGGAGGCCAGTGGAGGAGGCCTCAGCAACCAGCACCAGATAAGTTTGGGGGTGGTCCACACCAGGGTCCACCAGCTCGTGAGTAGGCGAAGGGTGCGATCAACCCCCTTTTATGATTTGTACCTTTTTAAGACCAAGGAAGTAGTGGGAAGGTTACCCTGGGGCTGGGTTGTTCTCGGCTTCCCTCGTGGTCTCCTGCTTGCTGGCCCAGGATGGAAGAGCCGCATTGTGCACCCAGCATCCCTGACATGATGATGTCACTTCTGGGTTATGTCCTCCCATTGGGACGTTGCATGTGACATCCTGCCCACCCCGGAATGCCCCCCCCCCAAATCCCCTCAACGTGATGACAAGAGGACCTGGCAACCCTACTTGGCCCAAATGAACAAATAATAATTAAATGTCATATATTCTTACAAAGCCAGAATTAGAGAGGCTCCTAGTACAGCTGGTGATGGATAGCCATGATCTCTAAATGGATTCTCTAAATTCAGGTGCAATATGCCTTCCAGTACCAGATGTTGGCAACAACTGCAAGAGATGCCTCTCACTGTCATGCGCAGTTTGTGAATTTCCCACAGGGCATTTGGCTGGCTGCAAACTGCTGCCAGTTCTTCTATCCCTGCATCATTGGGTTTTCTATAGCAGGAGACATGAACAACCTACTTCCAAAGAATTTAAGAAAAAATCTGGCAACAGCTTCACAGGCTCAGATTTTAAAACCAACATCATCAGAGTATGAGACCCTTTGAAAGAGGGATTTTCATCCCTTTAAAGCCAGATTTCAAAGTCTACCTGCGCATCAGCCAGATGCATCTCCTTCCATACCCTGTGAGTTGTTAGCAAGTCTCAAAGGTTGTCAAGCAGGTATGAAAAATTTGTGACAGAAACAAAGACCATGGAGTTTTTGCTTCCCCAACAGGAGATTAGAGTCTAGACTCCCCGAATTCCCAACCGTGCAGCTTGAGGATTACTAAAATGTGTAAAATGGTCACCTCGCCTTTTGAAGGCACAGAACTAAGGAGTTAGAACTCAGCATAGCAGCACAGAGGAAAGTGAGGTTCGGGTGTAAGCCACCCAAGACATAATGAGGGAAAAATAAGGAGGCAGTAATCCAGAGAGCAAAGTGGCTCAGCAAGAACTGACCCCCCAGTTCTTCTACCTCTTGCACACTACCCAGGGCATCACAGTATCCCTTGGAATGAAGCCAATTTTGTTTAATTTGCCACCATCCCTTGAAAGGTAAGCTCCTCTAAGGGATCTAGGCAAAAATATGTGCTTCACACCATTAATACTTTCATAAAGTGGCCCTGGAATAATCATATTGTTTCAAGTGAAGATATTTGTTGAGGTATGATATGCCCCCATCCAAATATGAATACATAAGTTCTTACATCACTAGCAAAAACTTGACATTGCCCTCCTGTTCACATAAAGGCTGTCAGATCATTTGTTACCGGCTGTAGAATGCATTTTCAAGGGAAAAGTCAGAGCTGTTCCTGGTCATGCACCATTTGGGAGTGGATTAAATTACCTCTTTGTGTGTTCCAAATTCTATGTAGCCACAGACCGGGTGGAAAGCTCCTGTACCGCAGACATAAACATGTGTTCTGTTGTAAGACTGAAGGACTCTAATGAAGTTGGCACATTCTTTCTATTGCAGAAAGAAAAGAAGTTCTTAATCATATATAAATGTGCAAAATATACTATCTGAGCACATTCAGCAATTAGATGAATATAGCACTCAATATAGCAGCTCCTTATCTAGGGATATAAGTAACCCCAAAAACGAATGTACTAGTCTTGAAAATTTTGGGGGCTTCCTACAAAGGTCCTCATATCTTTCAGCTGAGCAGGAAACTCCAAGTTGTATAGTCTGTGTGCGAACGTACACATGGGCACAGTCACACACTAGCTATTGGCCACTTGCTGTATATTTTGGAGACTTACATCTTCCACGGCAATACTGACAATGCAATCCTATGCACAGTTACTCCAGTCTAAGTTCATTGAAACCAATGGGTTTAGACTGGAGCAACTGGACATAGGATTGCACTGTTAAAATGGTTGCATTCGGATTAGTTTGTGTATCCACTGGTACAAAATATGGTTGTCTTAACACTATGAGCTTACAAAGCAAAGATATTGGTTTGGTACAGAGATCTGCTTGTCTTTATTTATTTATTTATTTATTTATTTATTTATTTATTTATGAGAAACAGATGTCTCGTATACCCTTAGGCCGAAGTATCTGAAGGGGCTTTCAGATAATTACTAACAACGTTCCAGTCAAAATATTAGAAGTACTAGCCAGCAATAAAACTGGTAAAATATTTTTAAAAATAAAGCAAATAAGGGTAAGAAGCCAAACTCAATCAAAACTCTACAGCAAGGAATGCATCAGGCCAGCAGCTGTGTGAAAGGAGTACCAGAAACAAAGTACTACCACTCAGAAGAAGGGCTGGCAAGAAGTCAAAAGGTGAAGTTACATATGGCCTAACAAATATGGCACACATTATCGAGGACGGTAGGAAACCACCCTGGAAAAACTACACCAGTCTTATATTAAATAAATAAATAAATAAATAACAGGGATGTGTTGATTCCCCCAAATGAATTTCATTAGCCATCATTCAGAATTTCATGTTAGGTAAAATTTCAGCACCTCCTCTGAACAAGCCACATTAAAATGGTGGTTGTTCTTACATGTTGTTGAATGTCTTTCCGGAAGATTTGGCTTGCCCAGTGGCAAGTTCTGGACTCAAGGGTCCAGTTCACTAATTTTTCCATACAAGCTGAATGGAAATGAAGAACAACAAGGAAACTTCTCTTCCTCTTTCTGGAACCCACTCACCTACATGCTTCCCAAATTCTTTTGCCTTACACAGAAAACAGGACATGGTTCTCATATCTCCAATAGTAAATTTGCTGCTCCGAATAGTTAAAGGCGTTTTCACTGATGGGGAGATGATACCACACTTACATTTCTCCTTGCTCATAAAGTGAAACCTTACTCATTTTTTTTAGGGTTCTTGACTAAAGTTCATCGCACTAAAATGGGGGGGGATGGAATTATGTCCAGATATATTGTACTGCTGCAATACTGTAAAGTTGTGCTGTGGCACCACTGAATTTAAATATGGAGGATAGGCAAAGCAAAGGCTCAGTTCAGACATTCCACCAAACCATGATTAACAAAGCTTATGTAGGATTTGGTGACAGCCTTAATCTATAATCTATAGCTGTGTTTCAGGAGGACACCATTGTGAGAATAATCTGAGACTAAGCTAAGACTGCCTCCAAAAATAATGTAAAAACCATATCAACAAACCCTTAGTATCCTATATCATCTGGAGCCAACGTGACCCCATTATGACTAAAACTCAAATAAGGTGGGTCACAGCGGAGTGCCGATAACTTGCCCATCCTCCTGGTGGAGGTAACTGTGACTAAAAAGGCTGTCTTTTACGACAAAAGCTGTAGACTGCAAGTAACCATCGGTTCAAATGGCTTGTCCATGAGCCGTGCAAGCACCATCGGTAGATCCCACGCTGGCGTGGGTCCACGTGACGAGGGAAGAGGTGGGTCAGACCTTTAAGAAACTTCTTGGTCTGGGGGTGAGAGAAGACAGAGTGACCATCAATCATCGGGTGATTTGCCAAAATTGTGGCTAAATAGACCTTCAGCGAGGCACAACTGAGTCCTAGGTCTAAACGAGACAATAAGAACCCAAAGATTGCCATCAGGTCAGATGGTGGTGGTGGCAATCCCAATGAGGTAAGGTAAGACAAGAATTTCTTCCACTTCCAAGGGTAAGAAACTTGGGTAGACAATCTGCGACAATTCAATAGTACATGATCTATTCTGTCTCTGATCGATCAAAAAGGATCCTCCAGATCGAAGCTTGAGACACTTCACATCGTGATGCAAAATCCGACCCTTCTCTGCGAGGAGGAGGTCTGCAGCTGGGGGAAGGTGAATGAAGGAGCCCTTGGACAGGTGGAGCAGAGTGGAGAACCAATGTTGTCAGGACCACCACGGTGTCACTGAGACATCGTGGTTTTTCCTGCATTAACTTGACTAGTACTCTGGGTATTAGAGGAATTGGAAGAAAGAGGAGCACGTGAAGATGTGACCACGGGACCAGAAGACCATCTCCCAGAGATAGGGGATCTATCCCTGTTCTGGAGCAGAACAGGTGACATTTTCTGTTGCTGCGTGTCGCAAACACATCCAAGTCTGGATGGCCCCAAAGGTGAAAGATTGGGTGAAGGTAAATCCAATTGAGCTCTCACTCGTGCTCCGCTGCCCCTCTTCTGATCAAGAAGTCTGCTTGAACATTCAGTGTTCCTGACAGATGAGCGGCCCTTAGGAACGTGTTCCATGATTGACACTTGACCCATAGTTCTATGACTAGGCGACATAGCCCCCAGGAGATCGTACCTCCCTGTCTGTTGATATAACACAGGGCTGTGGTGTTGTCTGTCAGAACTGTGACTACTTGCTCGGTCACTAGGTTTTGGAAAGACCTGACTGCGTACAGCACTGCCAGAAGTTCCAGGAAATTTGTATGATTGTGTGCTACATGGGACTCCCATCGAGCCCCTACACAAAGACCCTTGAGATGTGCGCCCCATCCCCAGAGGGATGCATCTGTAGTCAGCATGAGTGTTGACGTGGGTGGATGGAATGGGGCTCCTGCTAGGAGATTCACAGGATCTGTCCACCAAAGCAGAGAGCCCAAAACGAATGGTGGGAAGACAAGATGAAGGGATTGGGGATGACTCTGTGGGCAAAACCTGCACACGAACCATAGCTGCAGTCGTCTCATGTGCAGTCTGGCAAAAACAATGACGTTGATGGTGGCAGCCATCAAACCCAGCAGCTGCTGGATTCGCTTTGCCGTAGCATGTCCAGACTTGCGGAATAGAGTCACTAGATCGACAAGGTCCCCTGCTCTCTGAGGAGGGAGAAAAGCCTTGTAAATGACAGAGTCTAGGATAGCTCCTATAAACTGCACCCTTTTGGAGGAAAGTAGCATCAACTTTTTGAGATTTACCTTGATTCCTAAGGACATCAGGACGGTCAAGGTTAGGTTTACATTGGTGAGCAGGGATGCCTCTGAATCTGCTACCAGTAACCAATCATCTATATAGGGAAATATCTGAACTCCCTTTAGATGAAGGTGTGCCACGACTACCACCAAAACCTTCGTAAAGGCCTGAGGGGCCGTGGATAATCCGAACGGGAGGGCTTTGAATTGGAAATGTCGGTTGCCTACTGCAAATCGGAGAAAACGATAGTGGGTAGGGTGGATGGAAACATGGAAGTAAGCATCCTTGAGGTCCAACGTAAACATCCACATCCCTGGATCTAGGAGTGGAAGGATGGACTGTGACGTTGTCATCCTGAACTTTTTGTATATGATTAAAGAGTTCAGGTTCCTGAGGTCCAGAAAGGGTCAGAGGCCTCCATCCCACTTTGGTACCATAAAGTAACAAGAGTAGAAGCCCGTTATGTGTTATGCTGATGATACCAGCTCTATAGCATCCTTGCTTAGGAGAGTTTGAACCTCTTCTAGGAGGACTACTGAAGGTGGTGTGACGACGACGTGGGTGGTGGAAGGGATTTGGGAAAATTATTGAGATGACCCACTGGTCCGACATAATGGACTCCCAGATCGACAGGTAAGGAGACAAGCATTAGGGAGTTGGGAGAGAAGGTGCGTGTCAAAGGCTCTGTTTAATGTTCTTCGCAGTTTTGGGTCTAGATAGAGAGGTAGATGAAAACTTGGGTTTTCCACCATAGGGACGGGACGGACGACTTGGAGACCTTTGCCAATGTGGCTCGGAGGAAGATTTAGACGATGGTCTACCTGACCATTGTTTGGACAATGGTTTTCCCTTATGCGGTTTAGTAGGAGGTACAACCCCTAAGCTGTAAGATGTCTTGATGCTTTTGTCAAGCTCTTGAAGAACCGCATCTGTGGTGGAGCTAAAAAGTCCATCACCTTCGAATGGAAGGTCCTCTACAGTGGTTTTAGTTTCTGGCTGTAAAGCGAAGGAATGTAACCATGCATATCTGCATAAGGCGACTGCAGAAGTGAGAGTCTTTGCCGCTGTATCCAGCGAGTGCTTGGATACGTTAAGTTGGTGTTTCGCCAAGACCATCCCCTCTGTTTGGATGCTTCTAGCTTGGTGCCTACAATAATCTGGGAGATTTGAAATAAATTCAGACATTTTTTCCCAGAGGGAATACTGATAACGTCCCATGCAGGCTGCATAATTGGAGGTTTTGATACCCAGATCTCCAGCAGTATAAAAAGAGTCAATTTTTCGTCCCTGTTTATCTGGAGGTGTAGAATGAGGACTCTTGCCCTTGGTCGAGGACGTAACCACTAAAGAATTAGGCTTTAGATGAACAAAAAGGAATTCTGCCCCAGATTCTTGAATCTTATACATATGATCCAACCTCTTATTAGAGATCGATACAGAGTAAGGATGAGTCCATGGGGCTTTGGCTGTTTGCAAAAGGACTGACGTCATGGGAAGGGCTACCACTGTTGAAGTGTCCATTTGTACGATATCGAAGACTGAATCCATGACTGTTGGCAGAGGCTGGATGGTGGGCAGTGCTAGTGTGTGAGCCATACATTTAATAAAGTCCCCATAGGGTTTAACATCCTCTGATGGTGAGATAGGGAGTTCAATCTAGACTTGTTGCTGAGGGGACGCTTCTATTGCTGGATGGGGACTCTCCTCATCCGAGTAAGAGCTGGGGGAGCTGGACGGATTTGAGGGTTTGAAGAATGACGTTTGGAGGATCGGTGTCAAAGGCCTAAGTTCTGACTGATCTATGGGAGTTTTTGGTGCCGACGGCTGAAGACCTGGACCTTTAGTTATCGGTCTCGATTGGGAAGGTTTAACGAATTCCGGTGCCAGGGAGGGATCACGGTACCAAGAAATTCTGAACGAGGAAGACTGGCGATCTCACTCCATGGGGGGACAAGGGAGCCATGGCATCGATCCCGAAAAGGGGTAGGCTCCGTATAAATATTGCCATTGGCGCTGATCCCATGTCATGGGTGGAATAGGCATCGAAGATCGCTCTCGCTCATCAGGGATGAACGGAGGTGAAGGGACGACATTATGTGTCCTTTGATCTCAGTACAGGTTCTCGACATCGGGAAATTGAGGAACCTAAGTCAAGTCCAGTTCCTGGTCGGAGTCAAGGGACTGAATGGGGCATAGCGAAGGTGACCGAAGTGCACCTTGTGGCTGCCCTCGGCTTGTTGAATCAAGCGAAGCGGCTACGCGAGAGCCTTTCTTGTGCTTCTTAAGCTTGATAAGCTGAACGTCCTTGCCCTCCTTACGTTTTTTGGAAGGAGTATGGGCTTCAGACTGTTGTGCCTGAATCGGGTGTTTCAGCACCAATTTTACGGCATCAATGGAGGTCGACGTCGAAGACATGGCGATTGTCGCTTCCAATGCTGGCGTCGACATCGATGCATGTCTGGACGTCTCCTGAGATGAGGGCGTCACTTGAGAGAGTGCAACTTCCATCAGCGCCACTTGCAGTCTAGCAGCCCGATTTTTCCTGGTCTGCTTGGAGAATGTGGAGCAATGGGTGCAAGAGTCTACTCGGTGTGATTCCCCCAAGCATAAAAGGCAAAGAGAATGTCCGTCTGGGGGGCGATCTTACTGCCGCACTCCAAGCACTATTTAAAGAAACCCCACCGTGCCGCCATAGGCCGGGGGAAAGGGGTGGTAGAGAAATAAGTCCAACAAACACGATCTAACTGAAAAAAACTTTCCTAAATTTGGATAAAACAAGGCCTAAAGGCCCAAAAAAGTATAGTTTTACTGACCAAGGCAGACAGAGTCCTACCAGCACGGCGGTCAGAAGAGAACTAGCGGGATTGCCATGCCCCTCCCTTTGTCATGCGCAGTGGAGCCCGGCACATGACCGGGGAGCAAGCGCGAAAATTCCTTTTGCTTTCCATTATACCGATCGGGGTTGGCGCAGGTGCACTATATCCCAGAGGTGTGATGCACAGAGACCACAAAGAAGATCCTTGGTACTCTTCAAGTATTTGAAGGGCTGTCACTTAGAGGAGGGCAGGGAGCTGCTCCTGTTGGCAGCAGAGGATAGGACTTGCAATAGTGGGTTTAAATTAAAGGCAGGAAGGTACCAGCTGGATCTTAGGAAAAACGTTTTTACAGTAAGCATTGTGCAACAGTGGAATCAGCTGCCTAAGGAGGTGGTGAGCTCCCCCTCACTGCCAGTCTTTAAGCAGCGGCTGGACAAACACTTGTCAGGGATGCTCTAGGCTAATCCTGCATTGAGCAGGGGATTGGACTAGATGGCCTGTATGGCCCCTTCCAACTCTGCGATTCTATGATTCTATGATTCCAAACTCAATCAACAGAACAGTGAGCAAATTTTATCTGCCACAGTCTCTTCTTCTTCTTCTTTTCTTTTTTACTAACCAAATACCAATCATTTGTATTTGGCTTTAGAAATGGTTTCCCAATCAAAGGTGTCAATGTCTATTTTATCTATTTTATCTAAAATGGGGTACCAGATATTTAGAGGATTAGAAAAGTCACTCTCATTTTGATTATTGGAATGATAAATTGAAAAATTGTCCAACATAAATAAATCCCATACTTTATACCACCACTGAGTTATATTTGGCACCTTAGTATCTTTCCAAAAGCTTGCAATTAGAATTTTAGCTGCTGTGGAAAGAATACTGATTAATTTTTTAACTTTTTCAGGAGGACCGTCAGAGGGCCACAATCCGAGGAGAAGAACAACCGGCGAAAAAGGTAAGTTGTAGTTCGTTATTTTGTGAATGCAGTCTATTACTTGAGTCCAAAAACTTTGGATAAATTTGCAGGACCATCAGTTGTGAAAGTAAGTTGCTTTAGATCCGCAGTGTTTCCAGCACTGCGGCGACATGGTGGGTATCATATGCGCTAGTTTAGTTGGTGTTAAGTACCATCTCAACATGGCCTTCATATTTGTCTCTATAATATATAAGGATTTTGACGATGAGTGCCACAGTCTCTTCTTCAACAAATTCAGGGGACTTTACAGAGGCATCTCCATATTTTAGTTTCACAACAACCCTGTGAGATAGGTGAAAGAGAAAGATACAGTCTGCTCTGGTCCAACATCACCCACTGTGCTTTGTAAGCTGAACAGGAATTTGAACCTGTGCCTTGCTGGTCCAGCACTCCAAGTCCATACCACACAGCTTAATCTCTTATTAACTAAAACCCAGATTTCATCCTCAGCAGATATATTACACACAGAGAGAGAGAATTTGAATATTGGATCCAACTGGCCATGAAATGCAAAAAGTGTACAGTGTGGAAGTTAGTTTCAGAGGGTAGCCATGTTGGTTTGCAGTAGAACAGCTAGATTCGAGTTCAGTAGTACCCAAGAGAACAACAAGATGTTCAGGGTATGACTTTTTGAGAGTCAAAGGGATCTAACGAAAGGAGCGTTGACTCTTGAAAGCTCAAACCCTGAAAATCTTTTTAGTCTCCAAGGTGTTACTGGAATCAAATCTAGTATGGAAGTTGTTGCCTTTAAATTATGGTTGATGAGAATCTCTAAAAATATATATCAAACATGTATTTTAATAGTGTGGGGGCACCAGTGGAAGCCATATGCATTGTACTTACATGGGCATCCTTTCCAGCAAGCTTACATAACTCCACGTTGTCCATGGAGGCAGGCCAAAATATCTGCAATGTATGTAGAAAAAGTATTTTAGACTTTAAACATTTTATGACACTAGATTGTATTCCTCTGGATCCCTTGCCTCCAAAACAGACTAAATCATGACCACTCCTCCACCCCCTTCTCCAGCTGTGTGAGCAGGAGGGAAGGAGTGCAGCAGACTCACAGCAGCCCTCCCTTCTTTCTGCAGCTCTTAGGAAACTTTGGGTATAACTGATGAAGAAAGAGCACAGCTCAACATACTTACATGCCCACCTCACACCCAATGCACCACTCATTTAATCTGGTATCCCCATTCTGAAGTCTTCCCCCCTCCCATTTAATGTTTAGGGGTCTATCTATCTAGTACAACTCATACAGCTATCACCTTAGGCAGAAATGAGAACCAACATCTAGACTGCAACTTACTTCTAAGCAAAGTCAAGACAGCATTGCCCAGTATTAGCTCAATTTGATCGAGTACATCTAATCCATTAGATCAATTAGAAATTTCTTAGTAAAGATCTTCTGATTTTTTACAAGGTTAAGTACTTATAAAGAAAACTTTGGGTAGAAGTTTCCATCTCAAAAGAGCATCCCTCTTCCACATAGGAGGGAATGTCTCTTGTCTATGAAGCACACAGGTCGGGTTTGGGGTCCACACTGTCAGATACAAGTTGCGTTGCCCAATTTGGATGAGGATGCCAGTGCTCAAGGGGGCTATCTGAAGCTTGCCAAGACATGATTTTGTTGGTTATCCCCCTTCCTCCAGCAGAACAGCCATGCGATATGAATAACAGACCCCATGCTGTTCTGGAGGTTGCCAACGTCCAGGTGGGGGGCTGGATATCTCCTGGAATTACAACTCCAGACAACATAAATCAGTTCCCCTGGGGAAAATGTCTGCTTTGGGGGATGGACTCTATGGCACTACACCCTGCTGAGGTCCTTCCCCTTCCCAAACCCCACCCTCCCCAGGCTCCACCCCCAAATCACCAGGTATTTTTTTCCAAAGTATTTTCCAGCTGTATGGCACACCTCCAGCATCAGGGGTTCCTGATAGGGCTATACTGCTTAAGTACTTAAATGGAACTACTCATTCAGTCCAATGGCCTTGAGCAGTGTCACACCAATAAAGTTAAAAATAATCCTCATAACCCAGCTCCAGATGCAGACTCATTTATTCATTCATATTAGTATATCTTATTATAGCTCAGGAAAAGAACTTTGCAACATACAAAGTAGATTTATGTTCAATACCTGCGAAGAGCACTCTCAGTTTCTCTGCATTAGGTATATTTTTCCTCCTTTGAAGAAGTGGCAAAATCCATAATTCTCTTATATTCAAGTAAAACACACATTTCAAAAGACAATGCTCTACTGTACCAATTCACTCCAATTGACACAAACATAACCTATAAAGAAGCTTCTTATAGCAACCATCCATTTACCTGAGAAGGTAACACTTTTAATCTAGCTAACATAAATGATCCTCTACATCTTGGAACAGTTTAATATTTTAAATATTCAGGAAAGGCCCTTTATATGACAGACCTAGATAAAGGGGGGAGCAAACTCTACATGCTCTTTCATAAGAGCTCAGAAATCCTCTAGAAGGGCCATACATCCTCTTTATTTTATGTTATTTTATTTCTTATTTGGAATAATAGATTAGAAAAAGAGACGGGAGCCGCAATACTCGCGGGGGGGGGAAGTATTCCCCACAGCTCCCAGCCTGCAGAAGCAGGAAACACGGCAGCAGGTGAGCCCAGCCTTCTCCCTCCCCCCTTCCTCCCCCCCAGTGGCGGCAGCGAGGCCGGCCTGCCAAGCTTTCTCCTACCCCCCCTCCCTCCCCAGCAGCAGGGATTTAAGTATCCCCCCTATAGTTTTTTTTTTACCATTTTTAGATTTTTCTGCACATCTGGGGATTGCCCCAAATGTGCAGGAAAATCTCCCTGCCCCCCAGGTGCTCCTGATGTGTGGGTTTAGATATCCACATGCGGGGGGTGCCTTGGCTATTAGATATATAGATAGTAGATTGCAATGTAACATAATGGATAGTAGAATGTAATGTAATTTGGAATGGTAAATTGGAATGTATTTCTCTAGTCTGGGGACAGGGAAGTTAACTCTACACAGCCAATCATCCCACTTTAAAGAAGATGCTGTAAAGTCTCCTCCATGCTTGAGAGGAGACATATGGAGTTTAATGGCAGGGCCTCAATTAATTACTCTCAGCATTCCACAATTAAGGATATATCTGCCCATAAATCTCTGATTTTGACATAGTTATTTCCTTCACTATGTTTTCCCCCAGAATTAAACCCAAACAAATGGTAACCATATAAACTAAGCTTGTTATTCCTGTTTGGTCCTTGAATTCGTTAAACATCTTCATTATCCTATATACTAATTCACTGCTCACCCTCTGCCTATATGTGTGGACTGATAATTTCCATTTTATTATATCTGAAGAAGTGTGTATGCACACAAAAGCTTATACCTTGAATAAAACTTTGTTGGTCTTAAAGGTGCCACTGGACTCAACTTTTGTTCTGCTGCATCAGACTAACACAGCTACCCACCTGATCCTTTCCAGAAGGTTATTCTTCAGATATTCAAAGGGTGTTTTTTTTTTTGGGGGGGGGGAATGAATGAATGAAAGAAGCATTTATTACGACAACAAGCCATAGAATGCCATGCTTAAATATAACATTCATAAAACTGAATTTAAGACAATAAAATAAAACTCTATAAATATACAGTCATGCATAATAAAACAAAGGAAAAATCAGCCAACAGCTGCCCATCTCCCCCTAATTTGAAAGGGAATACTCCTGGTGCTAAAGAACCAGGATACTTTTGTAAGGATTTTTTTAAAATTAAAGTTTGTAGGTGACCATTGCCTTCTTATTGAGGAAACTGCTATAGCTATCTATCAGCAGCTTAATTATATTTCAAGAAAATTTGACAAGGTTACCAGTTATTTCATGGGCCCTTACTAAGAACATTGCAGATTTATCTTCTCTCTCCCCTTCTGCTTATATGACAGGAACTGAGTGTACAAACAACCCAGATCACAACTGTAACTCTTTGGCTAAAGGGATGAGTAATGAGCAAACTTTTTTTTCTGGCGGTGAGTGAGAATGGCCTGAGAAAGCTCTTAGAAAGTTCAACGCACGGGCTACAGAGTAATCAAATCACTTTGTTATTTCCTATCAGCTGAATAAAGGAAGGTGGGTTAACCAAAGAATAACTCTCTGTTCACTGAATCAGCTGCTACAGACGGACATCAGCTCTCTTGACCTTGTAAAGTGTAGAAACACTACCACTTGTAAAGCTTGGAACTAGAGTTCTGCTGACCTTTGGTAGTACTACAATTCCTTACATGTTTTCCAAAATGAGTAAATTTCTTTCCTCTTCAGAAATTTTTCCAAAGTGGGTTTTCCTTGAGGAACCAGCATGGCAGCTGATAACTGTCAGCAGCAATAGGAGGGCAGATATGGTTTTCCTAAGCCTACAGCTGTAACAGGTGCAATCATCCTGCCATCCATAACTTACACTCTAAACAATAGAGTTGCTGACTCATCAATTTCCCCAGGCACAACAAACTCCCAAGCCAATTTAGTGAGACCATTTAACAAAGTTAACCCTTTGGGAGTCTTCTTTCAGGAGAAACAGATGAAGATCTCTTCAACTTTGGATAAAGACATCTTTGCAGAATTTATGATCTAGTGCTGGATCTCTGAACATCTTCCTTTGAAAGATGGGAGTGGATAGGGTTCAAACACTACCATCCTTTCCTGGCCCAAGGGGTTCTACAAATATCCTTGAAACAGCAATAAAACAGACCCTTCATAAAGAACTCATTGATTTGAACACCACCTTTCTTCAACCAAGTGTGCTCCCCCAAAGGGTAATGCCTATTACCCAAGGCAGGACTTCTATGGGCACCTTAGAATTTCCCTTGGCAGTTATGGAACCTTTGTTATTTACTAGCATGGAAGATGATATGGTTGAACCATCTACCCTTTAAACCTCTAAGTGATAATTGGCCATCCTCATTTATAGACAATTCGATGGCTTGTCCAGACCTCTTCAGGTTGGAATCCTTTCTATCTAATGCCATATGTTTAAGTAAGGACATAGTAGGTAACTCCTCCACTACAGAAAATTAAGTACTTGCAAATCTCTCAACAGAAAAGAAATTAACTCACAGACCCAGTCAATCTATTGAGTAAAGAATTTTTGCCAAACATGATGACTAATACCTTTTAATCCCCCCTTTGCCAGAAGTTATATTATCTAATGTTCTTGTGTCCAATAGAGCAGTTAATAGGAGTGATTTTTTAGGATGAAAAAATGAATCCAGTGCTAATTTCAGAAAGCTGTCAAATATAAACTGAACATGGCTGGCTAGAAATGGAGCAATTTTGATCCTGTATTTTTCCCCATTTTGAATAACTATGACTGTATTATGGTACAAGAATCCCAGCTTTCTAACTCGTGTGACTTAAGTGGATGTCACTCTTTACATCTTCCCACCAAAAAAAATAAAGGGGTGACCACAAGGAGGATTAATTTACTTTGTATCCAACAAAACTGGTAAACAGTTTATCCTGCCTACTGCTTTTTTAATCTGGCAATAGAAGAAGAAGAGAGCAAGAGATTGGATTTATACCCCACCCTTCACTACCCAAAGGAGTCTCAGAGCAGCTTACAATCTCCTTTCCCTTCCCCTCCCCTCAACAGACCCCCTGTGAGGTAGGTGGGGCTGAGAGAGTTCCTTTGAGAACTGCTCCTGAGAGAACAGCTCTGAAAGAACTTGTAACTGACCCAAAGTCACACCAGCAGCTACATGTGGAGGAGTGTGGAATCAAACCTGGTTCTCCCAGATTAGAGTCCGCATTCCTAACCACTACACCAAACTGGCAGTCAAGGGTGAGTCGTTTTTTTTTTTTTTTGCTGTTTGTTTCCAATGCACTTAAACGAGGAATCGATGAATCGCATCTCTGCACTGAGGGCT